GGGACCCCCACTTCCTGCTGTTTGCTCCCTGTATGACCCTCTCCTTCTGTGTGTATGTGGACTGGGCCTAGTGATTCTAATTAATAGACTATGGCAGAAGTGATGGTCTGTCATTTTGGAGATCTGGTTGTAAAAGACTACACCTTGCTTGCATTTTCTCTCTGTGACTCTGATGTGATGAGCTGCCATAAGGAGGGGCCCATGTGACAAGGGACAAGAAGGCCTCCAGCTAAGTGGTATAGAACTGAGCCCCCAGTCCAACAGCCCGTGAGGAAATGAATCCTGCTAATTCTCATGTGAGTGAGCTTGAAATTGGATCCTTCTGAGGCTGAGCCTTGACATGATTACGGTTTCAGCTGACATACCCTGATTGCAGCCTTTCAAGAGACCCTACCTATGCAGAGTACCCTGCTGGGCCATGGAGATTCCTGACTCACAGAAATCATGAGAAAATACATTTTTTTTTTTTTTTTGAGAGGGAGTCTCTCTGTGTCACCCAGGCTGGAGTGCAGTGGTGTGATCTTGGCTCACTGCAGCCTCCGCCTTCCAGGTTCAAGCAATTCTTCTACCTCAGCCTTCCAAGTAGCTGGGACTACAGGTACACACCACCACGCCCAGCTAATTTTTTGTATTTTAAGTAGAGACAGGGGTTTCACTGTGTTACCCAGGATAGTCTCAATCTCCTGACCTCGTGATCCACCTGCCTCGGCCTCCCAAATGCTGGGATTACAGGTGTGAGCCACCGTGCCTGGCTACATATTGCTGTTTTAAGCCACTAAGTTTTGGGGGAATTTTATTATGTAGCAATATATAATATAACTAGCATCTCAATCTACTCAATTTCTCTGAGTTCCAGTGTCTTCTTCTATACAATGGAATCCTAATACTTATGTTGTAGGTGTTGTAGTGAGAACTCAATGAAAAAATGTATTTAAGCCAGATGTAGTGCTTGGTAGGCACTTAGTAAATGATTGTTATTACTATTATATAAAAGGCAGCAAAGCCCAGGGACAGTCAAAAGCTGTAGACATTAGGTACATTGAGTTTAGGCCAGTGACTTCTGTGGCTGCTCCGTCATAGTATAACCACACTCGATTATTAATGCTTGTTTCATTGTGCCTTCTCCAGGTAACTCTGAACTGGAGGAGGATGGGGGTGCCTACATTCTGCCACCATGATGTCTCCTGTGCCTGGTAACACTCAGTGGGGGCTTGTTAAATGAATGAATACATATTTGAATTAATAAGAGGGTGAGGAAACTCCTTGTCCCTTTGGGATGTCTGGTACTTAAAGCAGCTGGCACATGTCCCAGGCGAGAGCACAGGGGAGTGGAAGGACCACTTTGGGCGAGAGTGTCAGGGTCAAGTCTGATGCTCATTACACTCTCTTGGGCAGATATTGTCTCAGTTTTCTCATGTGTGAAATGGGTGAAAGAGTTGTCCTAATTTCCTAACAGGATTGCTGTGAGCATTAAGTGAGATCACAGACACAAAAGTACTTTGTAAATTGCAAACACAAAAGAAATATTAGCCATTAAGAATGTTGGTGGAAACTGGTCCTAAGATGGTCATTCTTCTCAAGTGGCCTGTTAATCAGGCAGGTTTTGAATTTTATAAATTCTGATTTACAAAATGTGTCAAGATTATACACAAAATTCATGAACTAATTTCATAGAAAAAAATATTCTGACAAACTTTACTTATTATCTGAAACATATTCTCTTTTCAATGAGTACAATGCTTTGTGTTTCTTTTTATTCACCTTTGCAATTAGCATGTTTTGGATTTGCAAATGGTGAACATCATTTTACAGATGAGCAAATAGGGGCACTCCGGTTTTGCCTTTACAATGTGTTGTTGGTTCATTTAATTTTAGCTCTGAACATTTGTTTTGTGCCCATTGGCCAGTGGGTAAACATGCTGAGTGGCTAGAGGAAGCAAAGGCTCTGGAGAGGGGCCCTCACTATGTCTTCAGGCTAGATTTTTCCCAAGGAACAAGTTCCACCTTGGGTGAAACACACACCAGCAGGTGAAACTGACTGGACAACCATTGTGGCCTCAGAGAAACACAAATGCAGCAAAGAAGGCTGAGCCAGTTTTCTCTGAGCAGGAAATTTTGAGGCCTCTTTCCATCACACCCCAACCTCCCTTTCCAAACACATCTTTCTCTGCACAATAGATGCCTTTCTCTAGCATTTTCCAAATTGGGTTCAGTGAGAGGGTCACCAGTTTGCCATAAATGAAGGCACCCTGTGCCATGAACATAGTTTGGGAAACAAGGCATCCTTTATCTTCTTCTTGGAAAATCATAATGCCCCATTAGACAACGAACTTTAACATGACTGAAGTCAAAATAAACATCATCTACTTAGAGCAAATTGCTTCCTTTGTTATTTCTTATATCTCTTTCATAACAATGATAGCCTTCTTTTCTGACTTTTAATCTTTTATTACTTTTATGCTTCCCTGGTTACTCTAATGTCATGGAGAGTACAGAATAACTTTTTCATCTTTGTATTTCTCCTGGGCCCAGTACAGTGCTATGAATGGAATAGGTACTCAATAAATGTTTTTGGGATAAACTGGTTACACAATGAGTGTTGAACCATCAGAGTATGCCACAAAAGCAGAACTTAGAAGATGAGGGAACAAGGAGGCAAAACAAGTCAGCTTTTTTTTTTTTTTTTGACACAGTATTGCTTTGTCACCCAGGGTGGAGTGCAGTGGCGCGATCTCGGCTCACTGCAACCTCCGCCTCCCAGGTTCAAGTGATTCTCCTGCTTCAGCCTCCCGAGTAGCTGGGATTACAGGTGCACACCCCGCACCCAGCTAATTTTTGTGTTTTTAGAGACAGGGTTTCACCATGTCGGCCAGGCTGGTCTTGAACTGACCTCAGGTGATCCACCCGCCTCAGCCTCCCAAAGTGCTGGGATTACAGACGTGAGCCACTGTGCCCGGCCCCAAGTCAGCTTTTTTAATGGGTTGTAATCAAACAGTTACTGGTGAAAACCCTACTTTGCTCAGCTGCTTCAGGCAGATCTGACTCTCTTTCGTCATTGCTTTGAACCATTTATTCTAACTATTATTCAGTGTCATATAAACACGGTCTGTTTGTACTTCTCTGCTCAGGGACATTTCTTCATCCACAAACATCCTCTTCCATTTTTTTTTTTCCTGGAGACAGAGCTTGTTTACTGAGGAAAGCAATTTTGAAACTGCCCATCTTGATTTGGAGTTAATGGAACCAAATACACTGCCAATTTAAAATTACCAATAAGATGATCGTCTCAAGATAACATTGATAGCCTCTGGACAGATACCAACTTAGGCCATGCTTTAAACATCTGTGTCACCAGTCACCTCTCATGTGATGGATAGAAAGTAATTATTGGAAGATTTGAATATACTCTCAGATTCTTCATGACTCATCAGGCCTTCCTTTGCTTTAAGGACAAATTTCAGTGGAAGAAAGAACTTAGACTGGTTAGAGTCAGAAGAATGCATATTGCTATCACTTGCTAATTCTCCTGTATACATTTTATCAATAAAGATTTTCTGTCTTCTAGTGAGCCCAGCTACATGTTTCTGGGGGTCTGAGTGTGAGGAAAACAAGATAACTTTTCAGACAATAATTCTGATGCCCACACGACAATTGCTGAAGGAAAGGGAGGCAGGACTATGTGGATTTTTTTCATAGTTAGCAAGATGAAATGCCAGAGTGAGCTCAGGCTAAAGGTCTGCATTCTGTAGTTCGAGCCCCAGTGAAAGTGGAAATAGTGGGGGAATTTTCCCCACTGTTTCCTAGGACAGGAGCAGCTCCAGGCCACATCTGATCTGTTTCATCATTCATGACTGAGTAAGGAAAAGAAGTCTCCAGGAGGCGCGACATGGTCTTACACACATTTATCAAGGGCCATTCAAGGAACCCAGCTGAGGGAAGCAGAATTGGTCAAGAATACCTTCAGTAAAAGTGACACCTGTTAAATTTCTAGTTATTGACAGGGATTTGCAAGGCATGCCAAAGACAGAATAATTAGACTTTCTTTTCATTAATTCCAGTCTTTTTTGACTCCAGGGTGGAGGGGCAAGTGGAGCAGCAACATGGGCAGTGCTGGAGGCCAGGAGACTCAGAAATACTAAATGTTAGAGAAGAAGAGAGGGAAACTGTAGCTAAGGATAAAGGGAGGTTTCAGCGGGCCAAATAGATAAAGGGGGCAGTGAATCCCTTAGGAAGCAAGTGAAGTGCTGAATCATTTAATGCTGAAATTATAGTTGGAGTTACTGAAAGGAGTCTAGGAGACGCGGCAGAAAATCATTAGCAGAAACTAATTTTCTACTGCTTTCAACACGAAGGATTATGCTGAGCTACACAAATCAAAAAAGCCAGAAAACCTGAGGAGTCTTGACAGGAGGCTTCTGTTCTGGCAGGCAGAGGTGGGCAGCAACTGGGATGGGAGTTGGCCTGTGATGCCCTGGAGGAAATAGTATCACAGACCTTGGTGCAATTGAGAGAGGGGAGGATTCCTTTGGACAAATGGAAAGAGAAGGCCAACACAGATGGGGGTCTAGTAGCTGCTTGTGAAGAAAGTTAGCTGCTGATGAGCTCAGCTTTTGGCTGAGAGAGCTGTTTAGTTTGGTTCTCCTGCATCTTGTGGATAGGGAGAAGGCACACACTGTGCAGTCTAAGGGACAGGCTGACTGCCAGAGGGCACCGTGACTCCAGGAGGTGGACAGGATATGACAACACTGTCTCAACTGGGTTGGAGCCTGAGGCTGCCTTGCTCCCTCCAGTGTATGCAACCCCAGATTTCTGGATGTAGCTTTTCCATTGGGTGTCTAGGCAGTACACCCACCATAAAGAACTGTCTGATAAACCCTCTTTCTCTTCCAGGGGCTGGGGAGGTGGGGTGAGAGACTGTTTGGGATTCTGGCTGTGGTCCTAGACATGGTTATGATTGTGTTATAGTGAACTCCAAATATGTTAGCATGTTCAGTTCTCCTATTCTTTAATTCTCTATTTTAAAGTTTAGCTTCCTTGTAATTCCTTCTCCACCGGTTCTAATCAGTAGTTCATATCTGCTCCTCCTGACCCCCAATCCTGACTCATCCCAGTCACCTGATTACCCCTGGCTACATGTTTTGACATGCCTGTAACTGTCCTTCCCACCAAAACACCCACCCTGCCACTCTAACTTGGACGCCTGCTCTTTTTAAAATAGTCAATCGGGACTAGTCCGGCTTGTGTGGTCTAACGCTAGCCAATAGGGGATGACACAGCAGTAGGGAAGACCCCTGTCAGACATAAGTACCCCTTCCCACCTTGTCCAAGCTTGCATCATTGTTCCATCCATACGCCACACCCTTCCATAGAAGTAAACTGCCTTGCTGAGAGGACTTATTTTCAAGTGCTATTTCTTTGCAGCATCGCAATTTTACTTATAACAATTCGGACTAGGGCCAGTACTAAGGTAAAGCGAATGAGGTACTTACAGTGCAAAATGGAAGGAAGCATTACTCTCAGGGTCACCTTAGTACACCGTCGCCACCTCCTTCCATTCTGCACCCTAGGCATGTCACACCTTACCCTACTGCTGGCCCCGGTTGGGGTCAAGTATTCTTGCACTTAATTTCATAGTAACCAAGCCAACCTGGAGCCTCTGTTTCTTTCTGATGTCCAGAGAGCCTGTGGCCAAATCTGGAATGCATCAGGGCAGGAGAGGGGTGTTTCGTTCTCTGCAGCTCTCAGATTCCTAGGAAGCATGGATACCGTTAAAGGACTGCTGTGGGTGCTTGCAGCCTACATGACTGTTCCTTCTTTGGGCAGAGAGAGGTGAGAAATAGACAGCTTTCACCAGTGTAAAATAAAGGGAGTACCAAAAGGACACTGATCAACTTTTAAAAACTTATCTATTGTTTTCTGATTAGAAAAGCAAATAAATGTTTGCAATTGATAGAGTTAGAAAATAAAAATAACCTATAATTTCAACCTCCAAAGTTATGACCGTGCTGGCAGTTCATTTAGATGTTCATCTTTAATCACATGGTCCTGGTGATGACAGTAACAAAAATGAGGGTGATGCCCATACAATGAACACGTATTGAATGCTCATTTCTCCCTGTCAGCAACTGTGCTAATTGCTTTACCTGTACTGTTCAACATGACCTAATTTATTTATTAACAGTAACATGAGGCCAGCAATATTATTCCTATTTTGAAGATGAAGATCTGGGGTTTAGAGACATAAAGTAACTTGCCAAGGTGAAACAACTGGTATGGGGCACAGTTGAGATTCAATCCCAGGTCTACCTGACCCTGCAGCTGGAGAGCAAGAAGATGGATTAGAAAGGGTTTCCCTTTTATTCTGTCCTAGCTCCCCACTCGAATTCCTTCCCTGTCCTCACGAAGGAAGCACAGAGTGAAAGCAAAACAGCAGATCTCATTTTGAAGGTTTTTCCACCCTCCTAGAAGGAATGAAATAGGAGTCCTCCAAACAAGAGGTGGAATGTTGGTCCCTTCTGCCTATCCCTCTCTGATTTAGTTTTGTCTCCTCCAAATCTCATGTTGAAATGTGATCCCCAGTTTTGGAGGTGGGGTCTGGTAGGAGGTGATTGGATCATGGGGCAGATCCTTTGTGAATGGCTTAGTGCCATTCCCTTGGTGTTGAGTGAGTTCCCACTCTGAGTTCATGTGAGAGCTGGTGGTTTAAAAAGAGCCTGGATCCTCCACCTCCCTCTCTTGCTCCTACTCTTGCCATGTGACACCACCTGTTCCCCCTTTACCTTCCACTATGAATATAAGCTTCCTGAGGCTTCCCTAGAAGCAGATACTGACATCATGCTTCTCATACAGCCTGCAGAACCCATGAGCCAAAAGAAACTTCTCTTCCTTATAAATTATCCAGTCTCAGGTATCTCTTTACAGCAATGCAAAAATGAACTAACACATACTCCCACTTCTGCAAATGTTTATTGAGCTTACTCACATTATGTAATTCACAGCTTTGGAAGAAAACACTTTCCTTTTTGCGTTTGTACTGAGAGTTTCCAGATTGTCTTGAATCTTTCTGATTCTTGTGTGAAGTTTGGAGCAGTGGAAAAGGCAGGGATGCTTTGGAGAGGATGTGTCCCATTCAGATCCAATGCTTCTCCGTATTAGATGAAAATTGAATCCAAGATGATATTAATACCAGAATGATATTAATACCTGATTAGAAAACACAGAAGACTAGTGAACTTGAAGACATAGCAATAGAGAATATCCAAATGAAACACACAGAGAAAAAAAGAATAAAAAAAATGCAAAAAAATATTGCATCTGAGCTGTGGGACAGCTTTAGGTGGCTGAATGTGTGTGTAATTGCAGTTCCTGATGGGGGCATAGGGGAACAGAAAGATTATTTAAGAAATAATAACTGTAAAATTCCCAAATTTATTGAAAACTATAAACCCAAGGATCCAAGAATCTCAACAAACCTCAAGTACAAGAAGCATAAAGAAACGATGGCAAAGGAAATTATTATCAAACTGCTGAAAACTAGTGACAAAAAGAAAATTATAAAATCAGCCAGAGAAAAAGACATATTTTGTACAAAAATAAGAATGACAGCAGATTAGTTGTTAAAAGCAATGCATATAAATAGACAGTTGGGCAACATTTTAAAAATATCATGCAGAAAAATCCTAACCTTTCCACTTGGAATTCTATACCAATGAAAATTATTTTTAGATAATGATGGTAAAATAAAGATGTTTTCAGATATACAAAAGCTAAAAGAATTCATCACTATCGTTGATCTTCCACTCTGTGCAAAGCACTGTACTGGGGTCCCAAATAGATGTAAGTAATTTCTTGACCTCAAGAACCCTATTGTCTAAATAGGGAAGGTAAGAAAGATGTGACTGAAACCCTCATGTCAGGAGTGGCTACCAATGAAGGCCAGCAGCACAGCTGGGTGGGCTAACTACCATGTGTCCAGTAATCTTTTTTTAAAAGGACTAACCAAGGCAAGAATGAAAGATACTAACTGGGGGGTTAGTATCTGAGAGAAGTTTAAGGTTATTTTCTCCTCTTGGGAAGTTTGGACAAATTGGCCTCCTCTTTTTCTCTTTCTTTCTCCTCATCAATGTCTTAAGACCAGGATATATACCCAGGAAAAGAAGTTCTGACTTGCTTTGGTGAGATTTGAGAACACTAATTGAGCAAAGTCTATCGGGGGTTGAGACTCTTATTTCTGCTCAATGTTTTAAAAAATGGAATTATGTTCCAACAGCCAAACATTGGAAGATTTTACATAAAACTGAATTTTTGGCATGTCTTGAAATACCAGACCTAGTAACACCAAGCCTGCAACTCTTTTCCTGGAAATGGGCTGGAACTGTATGGTGGCTGCCACCTTTTGAGCAGCATGCAGGCCCAGATTTGCTGCAATGTAATTGATTCAGTTATATCATCCTCCTGGCACCCATGGGCATTTGAGTTGGTATCCTGTGCTATAAGGCCAGAGCATGTGGTGTGGCCCTGTTGAGATATTTTCTTGCCAGGGTTGACAGATTTAGCAAAGAAACATACAGGATGCCCAGTTACATTTGAATATCAGATAAACAATGAGTAATTTTTTAAGCATAAGTATATCCTAGGCAATATTTGAGATATACTAGCAAATTATTTATTATGTTAAATTCAAATTTAGTTGTGTGTCCTATAATTTATCCAGTGACCTTATTCCTTGGAGCCACAATAGGGTCAGACTGCTCCCTTGGGAGAAGGCCTGATGTCTCTTCTCTTACCCTTTGGAAATGCTATTCTGTACTTTGGCACCAAACTGAGGTTCCCCTGGGAAGACAGCCTAGGCTAGTTTGGTTCTTGATTTTGGAAGGAATTTGCTGTCTCCCTTTCTCTTTAGTTTATTTGCCTTGGTAACTGACTGGTAACTGGCTTGATCAGCTTTTCCTTGAACTGCAATGATAACGTGATATAGTCTCAAATATGAGCTTTGGGAAAAATAGTCAAGGACCTACCCTGGTTCAATGCTATTAAGATCCACCTAGTGTAGGAAAAGACTCCTCCCTATGACCTCATTTGTTCATCTAAGTTTTTCACTCAGTTCTGGACTCAAATTTTCAGCCAAAAGTAAAGTACTATTTAGCCTTATTTTGCTTTTTGTCATCTGGAGGCTTAGATTTCCCCTGGGGACCTTGAGTGGAGTGTTAAGAAAATTATGCAAAACTTGGAAATAAAGCAAAAGGATTATTGTATGACTTTTCAATGTCATCTAAGGCCATGTTACTGCAAGTGTGGCTTGCTGACTAATCACGTCACCTGGGAACTTGTTAAAACGCATATTCCCAGGCCCTGCCCAAGACCTGCTGAATTCGAATTTCTGGGGCAGGGCATAGGAGTCTGTATTTTCAGTTTGAGAAGCATTGATCTTGAGAAGCTTGCCTAAGGGTCTTCTCACTCTCCAGGGGGAATAAACCATAGTTTGTACATTGATTTGGGCTCAGTTGTTTATAATAGCAGAAAGATAGTGATTATTTTAATTTTCTGTCCTGTAGAGAAGACAACTGCAAATATTATGGCATTACTGCTTTCTTGGACATTAACTAATTTTGTGTCTGACTTCGCAGTTTTACTTTGGAATCCTTTTCTTCCCCTCTGACTACAGAAGTCTTATTTTCTCATCTTCTCTTTTGAACTGGCTTTGTCATCCTATTGCTTCTCTCATTAATAAGCTGAATAAAACTTTGACATGTGCTCACTTATCTATCTATATGAAAATTAGGTTTTTAATATTTTGAAAATTGTACTTTGACAGAAGGGTAACTGAGAGAAGACAGCATTCATCTCTTCTTTAGACTCCTGGCTAAATACTGTCATAATACTCTCTGCCTCAATCAGGGTCTATTTTGTTACAAACAACTGAAGCCAACTCAAATTAGCTCAAGGGTAAAGGGGTTTACTGGAAGCTTACAGGGAAGTCTGATAGGATTCATGTTCCAAATGTTTAGATGCTTCTGCGTGTCTTCAGACAGGAGCACTACTCTCTGGCTTCTCTTTGTAGACTGGTTTCCTTGCTTTCTTATTGGTATGAATGAGGCCTAAAATGGGTATGAATGAGAAGAGAGACTCTTATTTGTTTGATGAACCCAGAAATCACTAGCTTTGGGTCACACACCACCTAGCTGGGGGTGGGGAGGATCATGTGATCAACTGCCCAGAAGTTAAGGATTAAAGCAGATATTCTAAAGGACCAGTAGGCAAGGGAGGCAAATTTATCTCTGATACTCTGTCCTTTAATAGAACTGTATAAGAGATTAAGGACAGAAACATGATGAAAGTGGTGTTCCTCCCAGGGTTTCTTCCCTTAGTCATGAGAACGGGCTTTGGGCCAATTTGGCTTAACTTATCCTTGAAGCCTAACAAGCAGGAAAGCCTCCCAGCTTGTTGGAGTAGAGTGAAAGCTGAAGAAAAAGACTGATTTTTAATGAAAACTCTTTAAAATGAAGCCTAATAAAAGCCTCATTTGAGGGGCTAGGCAAATAATTGATCTCTGAGAAAATAATGTCCTATAGGATTGCATTTTCAGCCAAAACATTTGTGATCCTAATATATGTGTGTAGTCTAACACCACATGTAACAAATAAATCCCTAGATTTCATTGGCTTAGCACAATTGAAGTTCATTTTCTACTCACAGAAATATAAAGTGGTTTTCTTGGTCAGTGGATGTGATTCTTTTGTTTGCTTGAGTCTTTTGAAATTTCTGTCAATAATTCCTTGTTCATCTTTTGTTAAATTGATATCAATTGCATAGTTTTATATAAACGTTACCTTTAAAATTTTTTATTTTGTCATTATTTGTTGCAGGCATTTGGAAATATAATTTATTTTTCTATATTGCCTTTTATGTGTTTATCTAGTAAGCTTGCTAAGGCCACTTATTTATTTTAATAATTTATAGGTATGTCTTTTTGTATACAATGTGTGCATACAATCACATTCCTTACACCTTATACAAAAATTAACTTTTTTTTTTTTTTTTTGTGACAATGTCTTGCTCTGTCACCCTGGCTGGAGTGCAGTAGCACAATCTTGGCTCACTGCAACCTCTGCCTTCCTGGTTCAAGGGATTCTCCTGCCTCAGTCTCCTGAGTAGCTGGGACCACAGGCATATACCACCAAACCCAGCTAATTTTTGTATTTTTAGTAGAGTCCTCATGTTGGCCATGCTGGTCTTGAACTCCTGACCTCAAGTGTTCTGCACGCCTTCGCTTCCCAAAGTGCTGGGATTACAGGCATGAGCCAGCATGCCTGACCTTCTTATACATTCTTATTTCCCCTTTTCCTCCTTTTTAAAATTTACCTATGGCCTAACCAAATTTAAAAATTATTATTTTATTCTCCATTAGGTTGCTAGTCACAGCTGTTTTTTTTTTTACTGTTTATAAAATTATTAAATAGACTATGACATATAACCTTGAATTACTAGAGCACATTATAAATTAGTACTTCTACGACTTCTCAAATAATGCAAGACTGTTAGTGCTCCTCAATTATTTTATTGCTTTCTGAATTTGCTGTTTTTTCATGTATTTTTGTTGTACATATATTTAAAATCAAAGCATCTTTATCGTTATATTTTACAGTCAGTTTTTATTTGCTATATCCATAAAGTTATTCTTCCCATTTATCTTTATTCTTTCCTGTATTTCCATGTTCCATCTAGGATCATTTTTCTCTGCCTAACAATTTCAGTCTCTCTCTTTTTCTGCCTGAAAATATTTTATTTTGCTTTTATTTTATTCTGAAATAGAGTCTTACTCTGTTGCCTAGGCTGGAGTACACCGGTGTGATCTCAGCCCACTGTAACCTCCACCTCCTGAGTTCAAGTGATTCTTATACCTCAGGTTCCCCAATAGCAGGGATTGCAGGTGTGCGCCACCAGGCCCAGCTGATTTTTGTATTTTCAGTAAAGACAGCGTTTCACCATGTTGGCCAGGCTGGTCTCGAACTCCTGACCTCAAGTGATCCACCCACCTCAGGATTATAGGCATGAGCCACTGCATCCAGTCTATTTTGCTTTTATTTCTGAAGGACATTTTGACTAGATATTGGCACTTATTTTCATTTAACAACTTAAAGACGCTATTGCTTCCATAATTCCTATTAGTCAACTGCTAAGATTACCTTATTTTTGAAAGTAATACATCTTTTATCCTAAGTGGCTTTAAGATATCCTTTTTGCATTTGTTTTTCGTAGATTTTCTATGATGTGGTTAGGTATGGCTTTCTTTGTATTTATCCTACTTAAAATTTGTAGAATTTAAAAAATTTGTGGTTTGATGTCTTTGATTTATTTTAGGTAGTTCTCATCCACTATTGCTTCAAATATTGCTTTTACCCTATTCTCTCTAACTTCTCCTTCTGGGAGGTGAATTACAATATGTTAGATTTTCTACCACATTCCATGTTTCTTATCATTTGTTCAATATTTTTCCATTCTTTTCCCTTGCTCTTCTGCAATTATATATGCAGACTTATCATTTTCTGTTGACCTATCATTCATTTACTAATCCTGCATTTTGCTATATCTAGTCTCCAGTTAAATCCACTATTGGGATTTTATTTTTAGTAATTGCATTTTTTATTTCTGTAATTCTCATTTCATACTTTTATAGATACCAGTTGTCTAGTAAAATTTTCATATTGTCATCTATTTTCTTGAAGATATCAAAGATAGTGATTTAAAAGTCTGTATCTGATGATGAGTATCTGCAGCATTTGTGGGTCTGTTTATATTATCTAATTTTCTCCATGTTTTTTAGTCAAACAGTCCTTTCTCTTGGCATATCTGTTAATTTTCTCTTTATTACAGGCCAGAATATGAGATATTGTAAAGACTTTGGTGACTTTTTTTTTTTTTTTAACCAGAGAGGGTTAACTTTTCATGTAGCAGTTAGAGAAGACACAAATAACTTTGATCCAGCTGCAAATCATACTATTCCAACCTGGATTCCAGTCTTTTTAAAGGCTAATGTATTTCCAGTTTTTGTGTTCTAGATAGTAGCCCTTCAGGACTCTCACTGGAAGGTCTTCTGTGCTTGCTAGGACCCCTTCTTCTGGCAGGCCCTAACCTCTACTTTTGTGTCCTAGCCTGTGAGAATCTTAAGAATTCTGCTTAGCCTTTTACCTCTTAGCTGTTTTGTTTATGGTGCAACTTGAGAATCAGCAAATTTCTCAATGAGAAAAGTCACACAGACAGAATATGGGGCCCACTTGCCTGTAGTTTCTTTTTCTGTAGTATGTTAGGACTTCAGGTACTGACTTATTTGTCACCTAAAACTTCAGTTTTTGTTTCTGTAGTTCCATAAAACTGCGAAAAGCTCTGAGAAGTAACTTTTTGGTTGGCTTCTTGGCTCTACTTCATTTACAAATTGGCAGAGGAGATAGTCAGGCTTACAGGCCTTTCTCTGTTCCCTGGGGTCTTGGCCCAGCAACTTTTGGCTGCTTTAACTGATTACTGATATCTTTAAGCAGCTGTTTCTAATATTTTATTCAACATTTAGAATTGTTTTTAGTAGGAAGGGTGGTCTGATAAAAGGTACTTCATTATAGTTGGAAGTGGAAGTCCTCTCTAATTCATTTTTAGAAGATTAAAATTTTCTATTTACACAATTAAAGGTGCAAATAATTGATGAGGCAAAATTTTGATCTATGCCTCTAGGCATGCCAACTTCAAATGTGATAAAATAATATGTGCAGGAGGGTTTTCTTTTCTTTGTTTTATTGGGGGTGTATATTGCAGAGTTTCACGCTACTTAGAAAGTAGCTGAGATGACTTTTCAAGGGACTATTTCTTAATTTGCTTTGGGAAACACCAGTGCCCTGTACAGTTTTAACAAGTATTCTGCAGAAAAAGATTTTTATGGTTGACTTGCTTTGGGAAATAATAGTTATGCAGAATTCGTTACTTCACAATGTCTTCAAGCCTTAGGTATATTGTATGGCTTCTAAGTCTCTAAGAAGGAGTTATGGTATGCAGAATTTCCTAAATTTATTTGATCAAAT